GTTTAACGACCCTTTCACAGGGTCGCCTAAGACCATCGGAAAACACATATATAATTACATATTGTTTTTGTGATTAATCACTATGCTTTAATTATGTTCAATTTGTAACAATGAAATTGGTGGTCACCACAACATGAGGAACTGTATTAAAGGATCGTGGCATTAGGAAGGTTGAGAACCACTGATTTAAATGGTCAATTTTATATTATATGTATTTTACCAAAATTTTTAAAATTTGTAATGCATTAAGATTTTAAAAATATTAAAGAAAAAATTTACTTGTCGGCCCAGCAAAAATATCCCTAGAAATACTGATCAAGGAAAAAAAAACAAAAACAATATTTAGTTTTTTAAAAAAAAGAATCAGTATAGCCCTAGCTGGTTTGCCTCAGTGGATACAAGCCTGTGGACTGAAGGGTCCTGGGTTCGATTCCAGTCAAGGGCATATGCCTAGCTGCGGGCTTGAGCCCTAGTGGAGGGCATACAGGAGGCAGTCGATCAATGGTTCTCTCTCATCATTGATGTTTCTATCTCTCTCTCCCTCTCCCTTCCTCTCTGAAATCAATAAAAATATATTAAAGTTGAGTGAGCGTATGTAAAATATGAATTAGCAATCTTCTAAATAAAAGAATCAGAATAGATTTTATGGACAAAAATATAATACAACCATAGAGACAACAGTAAGTAAATACAATAGAAAATTTAGAGAATAAATTTCTTAAAAAATGCCAGTTACTGAACAGATACACACAAAAATAGAAAATTTAAATAGCCCTATATCTCTAAAAGTAATTGAGGTTGTAATTTTAAATTCTCTCATAATGAACATGATTTCATCTCTGATCTACTGCTGGCAGGAGTGTAAACTGGTACAGCCTCTTTGGAATATAGGCATTCTTTTGTAAAGTAAAACATTTATCAATCCTATGACCCAGAAATTACATTCCTAAGTACCAAGAGAAATTCTTGCTCATGGTACATGCAAAAACATGTAGACTTCATAATAGTAAGAAATGGAAACAATCCAAATGTTATTGACAGGAAAATTAGTAAGTTGTGATGTATTCACTAAATCAGGGGTCCTCAAACTTTTTAAACAGGGGGCCAGTTCACTGTCCCTCAGACCGTTGGAGGGCCGGACTATAGTTTAAAAAAAACTATGAACCAATTCCTATGCACACTGCACGTATCTTATTTTGAAGTAAAAAAAATAAAACGGGAACAAATACAGTATTTGTATTTGCATGTGGCCCACGGGCCGTAGTTTGAGGACCCCTGCACTAAATGATATAGTGCAGAGAAAGTGAATCAACTATAATTATATGTAACAATATGGATAAATTTTAGCAATATAATGTTAAACATTAAAAAAGAAAGAAAAATCAATTTCCAGGTTACATACAGCATATCTTTTTTAAAAATTCAAATACAGCCCTAACTGGTTTGGCTCAGTGGATAGAGCCTCAGCCTGCGGACTGAAGGGTCCTAAGTTTGATCTGGTCAAGGGCCTGTACCTTGGTTGCAGGCAAATCCCCAGTAAGGGGTGTGCAGGAGTCAGCTGACAGATGTTTCTCTCTCATCGATGTTTCTAACTTTCTATCCCTCTCCCTTCCTCTCTGTAAAAAATCAATAAAATATATTTTTAAAAAAATGTTTACCAAATAAGCTAGACATCCTTTTACCTCTTAATGTGACAGTTTACCTGATATTCTCCATTCCCTTTACCATGCACTGCCCATACCCCTGACTGAACACTGGGAGCTAACAGGCAACACTGGTATGGGGTCATTTCTGCTCCCACTACACTACTCTTGGATCAGTGTACTTGTTCTCAAAACTACTCAATGCCAGTTGTGCCCATAATTACAATTACATAATTATACTGAAATCCTAAGTGTATTAATAAACTATGAGTGTAAAAAAGTTGCTCTTTCTTTGAAAACTAAGTTGAAGGCTCTAGAAGACTAAATAGAAATAATTTGAAAAACGGTCCTTGGGATGGTAGACACACAATACAATATACAGATGATGTATTATAGAATTGTATACCTGAAATCTGTATAATTTTATTAACCAACTTCACCCCAATAAATTCAATTAAAAAAAATAAACAAACTGTCCTCAATTTAAATGTGTTAAGACACATAAATAAGCCTGGGGCAAATTAAAAAATCCAGGAGGAGCCTATACTCATTGTTTCAAGTAACTAAGAGCTCTCACTCCACTTAGAAAAACTGTAATTGAAAGTTTCAAGCAATGAATCACAGGATGTAATTAATGCCAAAAAGATGAAGAACTCTAATCAGTAGGCGTATACTTAATACATCATAAGGTTGGTGAATAAATGTATATTTATTTGTTTCAAACTGAAATAAAATGCTTATGGTGTGTATGTATCATTTTAATCTCCTGCTTTAACCAACTTTTTCAATTAACAATAAGCTATATAAGATAGAATAGCAATAGATAAAAAGACTTCTACTATATCAAAGAAAACTTGTAACAACTTTTGGCAAATTAATACTATCTACTAGACAGCTAAAGCAAAATATTAACTGTTAACAAGTCTACTTGTTAAAATGACTAAAGAGAAATCAATTGATCAAAGCTGGAACTGCCGTTTTTAAAAGAATCTACCTTTTTAGTTATCATTAACCAAAGGCAGCATGGTTATTACCCTATTGTGGCATAATCTGATTAAAACAATGGAGGTCTTAGAAAAAGATAGCTGCTGAAAGGCCTACATGGGGTTCAAGAACCAAAGTCTGAGTATCCCTGAACTGGGAAAAGAATGGTCTGAGTTCTCTTGATAGGAAAAATAGAAAAGATGCTTTTGCTAAAAAATTTTCCTTGAGAGAGTTAAAACTTTCTCTAAAAGAACGTATATTAAATTTCTTTCCAGAATCTGATACAAACCATGGGCTTCTCAAAAGAAAACACCAAAAAAACAACAAAACTCACATTATACAAAAGCATCCAGTTAGATTGAATTTAGGTATAGTAGTTTCTTAACAGATTTCTTCTTTTCTTTTCTTTTTAAATCCTTACCCAAAGACGTTTTTTCCATTGATTTCAGAGAGAGTGAAAGGAAGGGAAGGAGGAAGGGAGGGAGGGAAGGACACATGGAGGTGAGAGAGACACATAAATTGGTTGCCTCCAGCACTTGCCCCTACCGGGGCTGGGGAACCTACAACCCAGATATGTGCCCTTGACCGGAAATTGAACCTGTAACCCTTCAGTTCCAGGTCTGACACTCCAACCACTGAGCCAAACCAGTCAGGGCTCTTCTTTTCTTTTTTAAGTTTTGTTTTGTTTCTGTTTTTATTTTAATCTTCACCAAAGAGTATGTTTTTATTGATTTCAGAGAGAGAGAAAGAAGCTGATTCTCTATTTACTGAGCCAAACAAGCTAGGGCTCAGTGATAGTCTTTTAAAGCTTCTATTTCATTCATTATTCAACTAATATTCATTGAATGCCTACTAGATTCTAAGCCTTATGGGAGGATTGAGTGGGAGAGTGCTGCTGTTTCAGATTCAGGGGAGAATTACAGTATACCAGAATGCAGGAGTTTACTATAAGAGCAGGTGATGAAAAAGTGGAGGCCAAACCCCTTAACTACTCAATTGAGAAGTTTGGCAATAAAAAAATGATAGAAATAGGATATCAGCCAGAGTTCTAGCATGGCAAAATTAAAAGGTAAGTTTTACCCCCAAATCAGGAACACTCTTAGGTGCCCCAACCAGTATCAAACCTGCAATCTAGGTATGCGCCCTAACTGGGAATCGAACTCGCAACCTTTTGGTGTGTGGGACAATGCTTCAACCAATTGAGCCACCCAGCCAGGGCTCTTATCAGATTTCTTTAA